CCCCCCCTTCTGATGAAATTAATTTGAGTAATCAATTTGATTTGCTCACGGATGATGAGAATGATCCATCATCCAAGAAAAATTCTAGTAAACTTTCCCGGCTTAATGCCAAGAAGGAAAAGATTCCCCCTATTGTGATAACCACTTCCGATTTCCATGCTCTTCGCATGGAACTTTTGAAATTCGTGAAAGTTAAGTTTTCACTATAAATTGGACGTCGGGGTGAATGCCGTGTATTGGCTGAAACGTTGCACGGATTTAAATGTCTTCTCAAGTATCTTACTAAGAAGAAGCACAAATTTTTTACTTACAACACCAAAACTGAACGTGTGTTCAAGGTTGTCATGAAAGGACTGCCCAGTGGTGAATCCCTGGATCAGATCAAAGATGAACTGGCAAAATTACTTGGAGTTGTGCCACTCCAAGTAATCAAAATGAAAATGAAATCCCGTCCTGGCGATTCGCGCAACGGGATTTCTAATGATTTTTCAAGTCTAGTGAACTAAACAACCTTAAGGCCTTAGAAAAAGCTAGCCTTATGCTCCATGTCCGTGTGAAGTGGGAACACTTCAGGAAGACTGGAGGAAATTTCCAAAACCTCACTCAGTGCCGTAAGTGCCAGGGATGGGGTCACGGAACTTAAAATTGCTACATGCCAGGTCAATGCATGAATTGTGGTGATTCCTCTCACGCACGACTGTCCTGTGAAGGAAGATCCTAACAAATTTAAATGTTCAAATTGTGGTGAAAACCACAAATCCAATTTTTGGGATTGTAAGACTCGCAAAGCGATCCTACAATCTCGTTCTAAGCGCCAGGTAGAAAACGCTCCACGTTTCCAAACAGGTACAAATTATTCTGCTGTTAAATATCACCCCTGCTTCAAATTTTTCATCTATACCTACTCCCCTCGCTGCTAACAATGTTCAGCGAATTAATGGAGCTACCTATGCTGCTATTGCAGCGGGAAGAAACCAAAATACTAACCAACGTAATTCTAACGGAAATTTTGACTTAGGAATCATTACTGCTCCTAAAATGCAATTTTTACAGAATTCATTAATTGACATAATTTCTGATATGCTTAAATCTAGCTCCATGTTTGATGCTATTCAAACTGGAGTAAAATTGTCTAATAATATTGTCATGACTTTAAAATTCAGTAGATTTTTTAAATTGGAATGCTCGATCTCTTAAAGATAATGAAGACGAGCTATTTAACTTTTTGAGAGTTCATAACGTGCATATTGCCGTTATAACTGAAACGTTCCTTAAACCTGACCATAAGGTTAAGAAGGACGCAAATTATTTGGTTTATAGAAATGATCGTCTTGATGGACGGTGGCGTTGCCATCATTGTTCATAGACGAATCAAACATAAAATTCTTTTTTTCATTTGAAACCAAAGTTTTTGAAACTTTGGGAGTTTCTGTTGAATCAAAATTTGGACAACTTACGTTTATAGCTGCCTATTGCCATTTCAATGCGTAGGCCAGCAACAGATTTTTCTCAAGGGTGACCTCCAGAAACTTACCCGTCATAGGTCTAAATTCTTCATTATTGGTGATTTTAATGCAAAACACCGCTCATGGAATAATGCTCAAACCAATTCCAATGGTAATATTCTGTTTGATGATTGTTCTGCAGGTTATTACACTATTCAATATCCAAACAGTTCAACATGCTTTTCTTCTGCAAGAAATCCCTCAACTATTGATTTGGTCTTAACTGATTCATGTCAACTTTGTAGCCAATTGGTTACCCATGCTGACTTCGGTTCTGATCACCTTCCAGTAACTTTTGAAATATCCCAAGAAATAATTTCTAATCTCAACAGCTCTATTTTCAATTACCATAGAGCTGATTGGGAGCAATATCGAACATTTATGGAATATAACTTCGATCCAAACATTCCTTTGCAAACCAAAGATGAAATTAATTATGCTCTTGAATCTCTGACTACTTCTATAGTTGAAGCAAGAGCTGCCTCAGTACCAAAATGCGAGGTTAAATTTGATTCAATTATAATAGACGACGATCTTCAGCTATTGATCCATCTTAAAAATGTCCATAGGAGACAATATCAAAGAACACGCGATCCTGCCATGAAAGTTATCTGGCGGGATTTGCAAAAACAAATTAAAAAGCGATTCTCTGCCCTGAGGAACAAAACTTTTGAAAACAATGTTTCTAAATTAGACTCGAGTTCCAAACCCTTTTGGAAACTCACAAAAATTTTGAAAAAAACCTCAAAAGCCTATTCCAGCGCTTAGGTGGTACACAAATTTGGAAAAAGCTCAGAAACTTACTAAGCAATTCGAGAGTTCCCATAATTTCAGTTTGGGTCTTACTAGTCCTATTGACAATCAGGTTGCTCGGGATTATCTGAATATTTTCTCTCGGGAAAATATTTTTGATGATTCCTGGGGGACTAGTAAGGTCTATAACTAAAAAGTTTCAAAATATGAAAGCTCCAGGTGATGATGGAATATTCTATATCCTCATCAAAAAACTCCCAGAGAGTACCTTGGCTTTCTTGGAAAAATTATTTAACAGATGTTTCCATTTGGCATACTTTCCTGATAAATGGAAAAATGCAAAAGTTGTTCCAATTTTGAAGCCGGATTAAAATGCAGCTGAAGCATCTAGCTACCGTCCAATAAGTTTGCTTTCTTCAATAAGTAAACTTTTTGAAAAGATAATTTTAAATAGAATGATGCTTCACATCAATACGAACTCAATTTTTGCAGATGAGCAGTTTGGATTTCGCCATGGGCATTCAACTACTCATCAACTCTCAATTTAATTTGTTCAAACAAATCTGAAGGCCACTCAACTGGAGTTGCTCTTCTAGACATAGAAAAAGCATTCGACAGTGTTTGGCATGAAGGTTTGATTGCTAAATTGAAAAAGTTTAATTTTCCACTTTACATTATGAAATTAGTTCAGAATAATTTAACTGACAGAACTCTGCAGGTAAATTATCAAAATTCCAAATCCAATCGACTACCTGTTAGTGCAGGAGTTCCTCAGGGTAGCATTCTTGGGCCTATATTGTATAACATTTTCACTTCGGACCTCCCTGATTTGCCTCAGGGTTGCCACAAATCTTTGTTCGCTGATGACACAGGCATTTCTGCTAAAGGAAGAAGTCTTCGTGTTATTTGCAGCAGACTGTAGAAAAGTTTAGATATTTTCTCTTCTTATTTACAAAAATGGAAGATTTCTCCCAACGCTTCCAAAACTCAATTTTTAATATTTCCACATAAGCCTAGAGCTTCGTTTTTGAAACCTAGTAGTAGTCACATAGTCAATATAAACGGAGTTTCAATTTCCTGGTCAAACCAAGTGAAATATCTTGGATTAATACTTGACCAAAAATTAACTTTTAAAGATCACATGGAGGGCATTCAAGCCAAATGTAACAAATATATAAAATGTTTGTATCCTCTTATAAACAGGAAATCCAAACTTTGCCTGACGAATAAACTTCTAATATTTAAACAAGTTTTTAGACCGGCCATGCTTTACGCTGTGCCAATATGGTCTTGTTGTTGCACTACCAGGAAAAAAGCACTTCAAAGGATTCAGCACAAAGTTCTGAAGATGATTTTGAAGTTGCCTCCCTGGTACAGTACTACTGAGGTACATAGAATTTTGAATGTTGAGACTTTAGAACAAATGTCCAACAAAATAATTAATAATATCAGGCAAAAATCGTTGCAATCCTCAATTGCAACGATTAATTCTCTTTATACTTAGATAAGATTTAGTTTTAGTTTTTAGTTTTAAGATATCAATTGTTATACTGACATACAGGTTTAAAAAATCTGTTTAAAATACTGAATTGCCAAGACAGGAACAATGTAAAAATACTTAGATATATATCATAACAATTAAGGCTGGTAAGTTACTGTAGTAACTGGGGCACCTAGGTTTAAATTAAATGTAATTTATTTTGAATTTGAAACAAATAAAGAATTAAAAAAAAGGTTTAAACAAAAACTTCTTTAAAAATCATCTTATGAAGGTTCTTTATAAACTTTTTCATTTAGAAGCTTTTTCTTTAAAATCTTATATTGGAAACTTATCCTTCACGCTTCCCCGTCGCTCCAGTCCTCTGACTAACAAAACACGGGAAGAACCAGGGCAGAACAGCAAATCTGAGTAACTCGCAGTAAAAAAGAGCAATGTTTCAAAGTTTAAGAAGCATTTCATGGTTTTAATACTTATTACAAAAAAAAAAATTCTCCTTTACACCCTTGGGATTGTGACTATTAATCAAATTTGGGTCAGACATTGATTATTATTTTTAATTTAACCAGAACACCCGGGACATAAGGGGCCTCCCTTAGCTCAGTAGGTAAAGGCGCAGCTACAAAGCAAGACCATGCTGGAGGTGGCTGGGTTCGATTCCCGGTCCGGTCTAGGAATTTTTCGGGTTGGAAATGTTCTCGACTTCCCTGGGCATAGAAGTATGATTGGACTTGCCACAAAATTATACAAATGCAAAAATGGTACAGGCATCGAAAGCTCTCAATTAATAACTGTGGAAGTGCATCTAGAACACTAAGTTGAGAGCACGCAATAAGCTAATATGCGATATGCAATACAGGCAATTAAAATGACGAATTGTTATTCAGTTGTGTGATAAGATATGTCACATGACATTTTGATTTTCGATTTGTGACACATAAGGATCTCGGTGTCAACTAGCTCTATATCGAGTTATTGAACCATAGCAAACATTCATTTCATGGCTACTGTGTTAGCGATTTTGTATGGGATTGTTATTCTATAACTCGATGGTCCCTTCAATATCGAGTTGTAGAGAGATCACTTTATTACTGCAAACAGTTGTATGACAGTTGCGTATTTAAACTACAATGTGCAGTCATCATCAGTGTAATGCCCACTAAAGACCTATCACACCTAGCAACCATTGCTTTATATGTGTTATTTCGTCCCTGAACAACATTGTGAAGTAAAAGCTATACAAAATGATTATTACTGACCATGACATTCGTTTGCTTGAATTTTCCACCTACAAAAAGTACCTTAAAAGCCTCGTTACTACTCAGGATCTTAGATATCTTGGCCACAGACAAAATGGTCTAAGCTTGTATTTAACTGGCTTCAGGTATGCATAACAGAAGTTTACAGTGGCATGATCAATACATCATTTGCACTTCAATCTAGGTCAATAACTGAATCCGATTTCAAGACCCGAAGGAAGGAAGTTATCGACTTCCTGTATGCCTCGCCAGATCCAAATGCATTCTTTAGTAGAAACCTAAAAACTTCAGATCCACTGCTAAGTGAACTAGGAGCTAGAGAGAGAGCCAACCGTCTGGGACTGCTGTCGGTATGAAATTCGGTACTTTGTTCGCTACAGTTATTAACTGTATGATTTGTTCCATTCCTAGACCATTATCTACATAAGGTGTCTGGGAAAGCATGGCGAAATATCCGGCTACATCGATTACGAACAAGCACTTTTACGGGTCAACAAAAACAAAAAGAATGCCTTTGATTGGAAAGCAATCTTCACAGGAAAACAAAAACTTTATCCCACCAGGCTCGATCTTTCCTACTACAACTTTACGACCGACAAGGCCTCAAAACAAAACTCTAAAAACTATCTTGTTATGTGTGATCCCATTCGAGGTATTATATTCCGGAACATTTGTGATCGTAAGGACGTTTATCCTGACCCTATTGGAGGGTACTTTGGCGAAAACACGACCCGTATGGAAATCGACACCGATATGTATGACCAAGTGATTCTGTACGATCATGTTGTGAGCGCAAATTATTAAAAGTAGTTTCAAATCACCTGAAACCAACGGTGACTGTTGTTTTCTTGGAATTCTATCGGTAGTGAATTTTTCCAACGCGCCTGCGTACTGATAATAGCAAAATAACATTTTCTCCAGCTCTCAACAGAATTGCATACAATAAACTTCTTTCTGCATTTAGGTATGCATGCTGCGCTGGACAAAGGTTTATCGTAAATTTACAAACGAGTTAGGACATAATTTCCGTCCTTACCACAATATGACCTCATCGTATCAATCCCGTGATTTTCCTCTCCGGTTGTCAGTTTTCTCTTCTTCTCTCAATCCCAGTGTCGCTGGCAGACAGAGTTTTGACCCTTGGATGTTTCCACGTCCGTACCTAGCACAGATAGGTACATACGTATGTATATCAATGGTGTAGTATAATCAACAGTGAGCCTTGTATGATTCAAGGTGCGGGTAACTGCATCAGCCCATATTATGCATGCAACAGGGTCTGTTGGAGGTTTCGTGCTTCGGTACACAAAACGGATAGCCATATATGCTCATTTATGCTATAAACAGAAAGCTTTAGTTGCTATATGGTACATTATATTTCAATTGTGGTGGTTTAGTTCGTTTTTAAAATGCTTCTTGGAAACGAGAGCTTGCTCCGTTGCAATACGGTTTGTCATTTCTTAGAATACTATTTAGTAGAAGTTTAGAGGGGTTACAGTCAAGCGCGTGGTACACGTTGGCGTTACTAATGCACTATGGGGATTCAGGTGGTAATCGAAAATTGACTTTCTCCTATTCGAGCTTTGTGATTGTCAATCAATTTGGAGTACTGAACGGAGAAACCCCAAGAACATCCTTTCTTTAAACCATATAGGGTAGATAACTACTTCGGCCTAATCGCCCATTTTGGGTCTATCAATTATAAAACATCAAATAAATCCATGATTTCGGCGTCAACAAGTCCATTATGCGTTTGGTACGATTCTTTAGTTCAAAAGCTACCGAACGAAGTCAATAAAAACGCGTAATATGAATGTTTGCACCCATTAGTCTCAAAAACAAAAGAAGCGCTCCGAACTAATCAATTTGTATCTTCTTCCGATAGGCCGTAGTGAATTCAATGGCGTTTTAATGCGTTAGGCCGAATTAAGAACGAGTTTGGGGTCAAGAAGCAGTGTTAGATTTTTAACAATATTTCAACAATTAGTTAATCTTAATCAAATCTTACGATACGTACGGAAAGGTAAATACATTTAGAAGTCATCTGCAGCGAAAGCATTCCATTTTGTGAAAAAAAAAATTGCCCAAATAATAGAGGTAATGTGCAAGTTTTGCTTAGTAGGAACAAAATTAGATCTTCTAAGCCCTACTTACCAAGATACAGGCAATAGAGTAGGACAATAATTTTTATTATTATGTTTGAAGATTTTCATGGAAGCTTATATTGTAAGCTTTCAAATGAAGTATAGGGTGGTTGCTTTTTTTTTCCTTGATTTATTTTCCGTCAATCTTGTTTTCAGTACTGAGTAATGCTACTGACGCCAGGGAGGCAGCTCCCACACCTGACACCTGGACCCTACCTCTTGACCCATCAACTAATGGTCCGGGAACCAACGGTTTTACTTCCCTCACGAAGAAGGTTCTTTGGAGTGAGAGTCTGTCACGCTTATCATTACACCCCTGTCAGCCTATCGTTTATCAAAGTTTACATAAACAATAAGAAGATGAAAAAAATAGAACTTTATCACATGGATAAAATGTTTCAAAATTACTTGAAGTTGACTCAGCTACAACTTTGCTGTAGATCATATATTTATAATTTCAAAAATAAGAAAGTTTGTCTTTCAATACCAATTACTTTGAGGATCCCTCCCGTTGGTCACTTTTGACACCTTGTCGAAAGAGAAAGGGCTTAATCTAATCCTGTATGCCTGCATGGGAGACCAAAAATTTGACATATTTGACAGTATGACATATTCTGCATATGCACTCTTATATTTGTATACGAAAGTGAAAATAATTAAAAACACTTTTAGGCCTATGTGCTGCGTGGCATGTGAGGTGACCCGCTGCCACTAGTGAAGTGACAATTGTCACCTCGGGTGAGATGACTCTCCATTTGATTTGCACGGAGACTCACCTCACCCAAGATGACAATTGTCACTTCACCATCACGTCACTGTCACCCCAGCTCACATGCCGTGCAGAATAGGCCTATTTATATCAATAAATTTAGGGAAACGTCAAAAAGTGCACTTTTAAATTTATTCATCAATTATCAATCCTTTAAATTTGTTGAACCTCTTAACGGAATCCCTTTATTTATGAAGAGCTTTGAGTGGGTTGGTTTATTTCCTTTAAATTCCGTTAAATTATAACGGAATTTAAAGGAAATAAACCAACTCACTCAAAGCTCTTCATCAATTATCATTGAATAAATAACCAAAAATACCCATATTGTCATTGGTATCATAAATAATCTTATACATTGCTTAATTTTCGAATAGGGTGAATTGTTAGATAATGGCTGTGGGCTTTGGATCATAATTCCTGATGTGGTGTGCTTCTGTTGTGACATTTGGGAATATCATTTACCATGATAAGTCACGTTATGGTAGAGTCATGTAGCCGTTATTAAAGCACTTACTCAACAACATATAATTAATAGATAGGGAACTGACGGACGGAGCAAGACAAGATTTAATTATCAGGCCAACAAAGAAAGTTAGGCCAACGCAAAATAAGGAGACATAGAAAAATTAAAGCTAACAAAAAAGATGCGGGAGTCTGCTTTCAGTTGCAAATAGTTTAAGGGATAGTAGAATAAACCTCCTCTTTTATCTTATATGGAAACCACATCGTCATTTGCATGTTGTTTTAGCTTGCATTGTTCTGCCAAACAGTTGCCGATATCTTTGACATGGAAGTTATAAAGAAAAAGGCTAAGATATTTACATTGGTGAATAAAACGAACTGTCGAATTATGAGCTGAAAAAGCTCATTGAGATCGAAAGATGCACATTTATTCCACTGTTGCTCTGACCTGATTAATTTTCTTAACTGTATAAGCGTTGACTGTCTTCCCACTTCAACGCCAGAAGTTTGATCTAATAACAAACTGAATAAGTGTAATTTGCACATACATTGACGCTTTAATTCGAATGTTTTCAATTGATTTAATAACATGCTCTATTAGACGCCCTATATAAATGTTTTCTAGCTCCATTATTAGATTTCATTGGATTGCTTTACAATATTGCTGTTTAAAGGTGAATGCAGTCAGAAAAATAGCCACTATGCGTCTATGTTTTAATTGCATGCATTGTAAATGCTTTATAAACGACGTATTAGATTCATTATTCGACAACACTGGTTCATTCTAACAACAAGACGAAATCAGTAGAGTAGTGGTTACCGTTTCCGCTTTCCAAGTAGAAGGTCGTGAGTTCAATCCCAAGCGCAACCTTTTTTTTATTTGTGTTCTAAATCGTAATCATCGATCACATCACTCACGACAACAAATTCATTGATTTAGTTTTATAAATAACCCAGCATCCTTTCCTTGGAAATTGGAGAGGTGAAGAGGTAGAATTGGTCTCATGTTAAACAACGATGAATGAATTAATGATTCCCACTGGACCTTGCGACGATCGGGAGTGCTAATAGATATTCAGTTTCAAGCAAGGTTTTTTGAATATTGAGCAGCCCATATGATGTATTCTAGGATAGCTCATGTCGCAAGGCATACGGCTGGTGATCGGGAGGTCATGGTTCGAAACCCATGCAACGGACATGTGTACATGCTATTTCTAAAACTACCCAAATTTGGGTTAATCCACCCAGATCAGATCGGTCAAAAACTACTGAATCACCCCCAAAAATTGGTAAACTGTGTTGGGAGTGACAAAAATAGACAAAATGAACAACGTCGACTTGTCAACTTGTAACTCCCAACACAGTTTACCCCATTTTTTGGATAGGTTCAATTTTGACCGATCTGGGTGGATTGTACCCAAATTTGGGTAGTTTTGAAATAGCGTGTATGTAATAAATTTTTCTAGTAGCTGTGTGGTGCGTGCTTCGTCAGAAATAATGAAAACAATCTCACTAATGGTGGTAAGCTCCAACCGGTATTATCCTCGGATTAAATCCCGATCAAGAATGTCCGGCTGGTTTGATGTCGACATCAGAGTTAATCAACATAATTCTGAGCAAACATTTTTCAGATCATACAAACAGGGACGGTATTAAAAGTTAATCCGAGTTGGAGCTTACCGCCATAAAGAAAAGACAACAAATCTGTCTGTCTTCTACCGTTCTCGATGAACATTTCAAATGGTCCTATCTGCTTTGATCGATTCTCTTCATCGACTTTCTCTTTTCATAATCACTGCTATGCAAACAGATTTCGCGCTAATTCTACCACATAGTTTGATAAAGGAGGTTCTTATCTAGCGTCCAAAACGTCAAATACAACAGGGAAAGGTTTTGCAGCTGAGTTATTAACGAAAGAGAAAGTCGATGACGAGAATCGATCAAAGCAGATAGGACCATTTGAAATGTTCATCGAGCGTTCTTTATTTTCGGATTAGTTTTCCTGCAGTTGCACGGCGAATGAGAACGACTCAAATTTGAGTTTAGTTCACTCATAATCCCCAAATGTGCAGGAACTCAGCGATGAGTAAAATTTGTCTCATGGTTTCCTGTGGAAAACCTAAAAAATCTGCCGGAAAATGAGGAAATTGACGAAAATTTTATTCAGTCTCGGAGTAGTACCAATAAACTGAGTGAATCCAATCTTTACTTTTCTCAAATGCAGGAATTTTTCCCTGGAAAATCCTGGGAAAACATGAGGCAAATTAACTCATCGCTGAGTTCCTGCACTTTTGGCGATTCACTCGTTTTTTCGAAAAAAAATATTCTAAAATTTCCGAATTTTAACTTGAAAATTGCCGAGGAACAGCGCGTTGAAAGGATGTTGGTCGTGGACATTGCAGAAGTGTGGTTTACATCTCACTGCAGTCTGAAAAATTATCGCGAAAATCCACCCAAGAA